CTAATCATTTTTATTGCCCTTTGCTGGACCCTCTCTAATTTCTCCACATCCTTCTTGTAGTGTGGGGCCCAAAACTGGACACAGTACTCCACAAGAGGCCTCACCAATGTCGAATAGAGGGGAACTACCACGTCCCTCGATCTGCTGGCAATGCCCCTACTTATACATCCCAAAATGCCATTGGGCTTCTTGGCAACAAGGGCACACTGTTGACTCATATCCAGCTTCTCATCCACTGTCACCCCTAGGTCCTTCTCTGCAGAACTGCTGCCTAGCCATTCGGTCCCTAGTTTGTAGCGGTGCATTAGATTCTTCCGTCCTAAGTGCAGGACTCTGCACTTGTCCTTGTTGTGCCTCAGATTTCTTTTGGCCCAATCCTCCAATTTGTCTCGGTTCCTCTGTATCCTATCCCTACCCTCCAGCATATCTACCACTCCTCCCAGTTTAGTGTCATCCGCAAACTTGCTGAGGGTGCAATCCACACCATCCTCCAGATTATTAATGAAGATATTGAACAAAACCAGCCCCAGGACCGACCCTTGGGGCATTCCGCTAGATACCAGCTGCCAACTAGACATGGAGCCATTGATCACTACCCATTGAGCCCGACAATCTAGCCAACTTTCTACCCACCTTGTAGTGCATCCATCCAGCCCATACTTCTTTAACTTGCTGACAAGAATACTGTGGGAGACCGTGTCAAAAGCTTTGCTAAAGTCGAGGAATAACACGTCCACTGCTTTCCCTTCATCCACAGGACCAGTTATCTCATCATAGAAGGCAATTAGATTAGTCAGGCATGACTTGCCTTTGGTGAATCCATGCTGACTGTTCCTGATCACTTTTCTCTCGTCTAAGTGCTTCAGAATTGATTCCTTGAGGACATGCTCCATGATTTTCCGGGGACTGAGGTGACGCTGACCGGCCTGTAGCTCCCAGGATCATCCTTCTTCCCTTTTTTAAAAATGGGCACTACATTAGCCTTTTTCCAATCTTCCGGGACTTCCCCCGATCGCCATGAGTTTTCAAAGATAATGGCCAATGGCTCTGCAATCACAGCCGCCAATTCCTTTATCACTCTCGGATGCAACGCATCCGGCCCCATGGACTTGTGCACGTCCAGTTTTTCTAAATAGTCCCTAACCACTTCTTCCTTCACAAAGGGCTGGCCACCTCCTCCCCATGCTGTGCTGCCCAGAGCAGTAGTCTGGGAGCTGACCTTGTTCGTGAAGACAGAGGCAAAAAAAAGCATTGAGTACGTTAGCTTTTTCCACATCCTCTGTCACTAGGTTGCTTCCCTCATTTAGTAAGGGGCCCACACTTTCCTTGGCTTTCTTCTTATTGCCAACATACCTGAAGAAACCCTTCTTGTTACTCTTAACATCCCTCGCTAGCTGCAACTCCAAGTGTGATTTGGCCTTCCTGATTTCACTCCTGCATGCCTGAGCAATATTTTTATACTCCTCCCTGGTCATTTGTCCAATCTTCCACTTCTTGTAAGCTTCTTTTTTGTGTTTAAGATCAGCAAGGATTTCACTGTTAAGCCAAGCTGGTCGCCTGTTATATTTACTATTCTTTCTACACATCGGGATAGTTTGTTCCTGTAACCTCAATAAGGATTCTTTAAAATACAGCCAGCTCTCCTGGACTCCTTTCCCCCTCATGTTATTCTCCCAGGGGATCTTGCCCATCAGTTCCCTGAGGGAGTCAAAGTCTGCTTTTCTGAAGTCCAGGTCCGTATTCTGCTGCTTTCCTTTCTTCCTTGTGTCAGGATCCTGACCTCAACCATCTCATGGTCACTGCCTCCCAGGTTGTCCTGGGAGGATCAGCTGGCTCTTTCCTTTGTATTGTTCTACTGTGTATTATACAAATGTGTTTATGATTTCTGAAAATAGTTCTCGTAGGGCAAGTGCAAAAAATGGTTTAATACATTACTGACTGGGGGCTGCAAAATGGGGGCTCTATACCTCACCCCATTCCTCCACCCAATCCCAGCTACCCGACAACCGATCCTTCATAATTCCCATTCACTGCTTAAGAAATGAGTAAGGGTTGCAGTATCTAGCCCATATCATTGATACCACAACAGTACTGGTTAATAAATGCTGCTGACTGTTAGTCTGGGCAATCTTGTGAGAAGAGCTTGTCATGAACAATAGAAAAAAGTGGAACAGGGTTGAAATTACATGCGTCTGATCCATCAGCAGGCATTCCATTTAAGGAGGTTACCTGCAATAAGCAATTGCTGGGTTCTCTAATATCTCTAGGGTTCAAAGCTCATGTATCTGCTCATGCCAGAGTTCTATCTCAGCTCCTGCATCAGTCTCTGACTCAGCCTCCTCATCACAATTACTTGTCAATTTCTTCACAGGGGTTGTAGAGTTCCTGTCAGAGTCCTCAGGCATAAAATTGCTTTCTGACTCAGTGCTGAATGCCATTGCAGGCTGTAAACTAGATAAGCTCTCATGCATCCTGTAAGCTGTTATCTACTCTGTTACCATATTAACTATACTGAATTTGGGACAGAACTACAATCCTACGGAATTAACATTCCTAGACACTGTGCACTGGGGACTGAGTCAGGATTTCTAGGCTGGTTTCAGAGTAACAGCCGTGTTAGTCTGTATTCGCTAACAGAAAAGGAGGACTTGTGGCACCTTAGAGACTAACCAATTTATTTGAGCATGAGCTTTGTAATTCCAGTTCTGCTACAGAGTCACAGTGGGGCCAGGAATCCCATGCAATCACCGTGCATGTCTGTGTTTCAGATTAACCATTTGTAAAATGGTGGTGATAATAAATACTTATTGTATAGGGGGGCCGTGAGACCATTAATGGGGCCAGATTCTGCTCTGTTACATCCATACAACTCTAACGACATTCCCCAAGATGGGCCAAACTGGGAGTGATAGCAGCTATGAATTTGGGCGCGATAAGAGCTGAAACCAGAACTGGGAAGAGTCGCCTCCTTTGGCTGTGAGTTGGGATACACAACAATGAAAAAACAAAGTAAACAGCGGCAACACAGAGCATGGACAATGTACATCCACTGAGCATAGAGCTTGTGCGTGAGTGTGAGAGAGATTGTTGACTCAGCTGGTGCCTACACCCAGCAGGGAAGGGGTTAACAGTCTCTGGTGCTCTTTGTGCTGACAACTAGTTCATGAAGTGAGACTTGGTTTTGAGACCAAACATCCACAGAAAAGTTGAGCAACAAGGGGCCGTGGAGCTTGCAGAAATGACTCAGAACTGCCTCAGCTGCCTGACCCTCCACCATATGTGAGCATCCCTCAGCAGGTGACCTCTACCATAATGTAATGGCAAAACAAAGAAAACTGCTGGGGTTACAAATAAAGTAATGGCAAAAGGGACCCTAAGTAAAATATAAAAGGATCACACCTCTTTTTTTTTAGCAGTGCAATAGTTTTGTTTCACTTGGCTTCCTCGCTTTTGCACATGCACCATAGAGAAGTTGTCACATTTTATAAACATTTGGTATGAAGCAAAAGACGTTAGAGCAGGAGCTGGTATCTGCCATGGCTGTCTCAATTGTTCCATGGTTCATAACATCAAGGATGGGTAAAGGGACAGTTGAATTAATACTAGTCCTGTGTACAAGGCAACAGTACAGGTGACGGTCTTGCTATCCCATCATGCAGTGACAGGGAATATTTCACTATCGTCATGTAGCTCTGCACTGGAGATGGTCCTGAACAAAAACTCCAGCTCCAAACACTTCCAGACTTTGAGGAAGTCCCTACTTTATGCACTCAAAGACTTCCATTAAATATGCATGTGGAGATGCAAACAGCCACCTAGCAGCAAGCACATGGCCCAATTCTCCTCATTTACAGCCTCACACTGCATCTCCTCCAACGTCAGCAGAGTCACCTCCGATTTACATCAGCGTGGGAAGAGAAATGAATGGATGCACATATAAATGGACATTTCTACATGCAGCTACCCATTTGTGCATCCAACTGCATGTTTTATGCAGGGTGTTAATTGGTGTGCACATTATAGGTGTCTAGAATTGAAAATGTAAAGCCTGATTCCACTGTGTCTTATGGTACACCAGGTTTATACCCAAGTTGTTCTCTTGACTTCAGTGGAGTTATTTCTAATTTACACCAGCAAGAAGAGAATCAATGAGAAGAGAATGCAGCTTAATGAATACTGATCTGATTCTGTTCTCAGGCACACGGATATAAATTAGGAATTACTTCACTGAAGTCAATGCAGTCACACAGTCATGAAATTAACAAGAGGGGAATTAGGCCCGATATACAGACAGTGAAACCTGCACTAAGTCTATTGCTAATAGGCAATCCTATCTTAAGGAGTCATTTTAAAGTCTCCTCCAGGTCTTCAGCTTAATATTATTGAGTCATTAAAATGGTTGATTTTTTGCTAAATCAGAACTGGTTGTGCTTTGTATACAGTATACGTCCTATAAACTATGGCAGAGAACTTCAGAACTGAAACAGGTATTTTAAAACAAAATTAGTGTACATTTCTAGCAGCACTTCATTGCAAAGCTTTGCAACAAATCCCAGCTCACAACAGAGTTAGTGTATTAATTTGAACAGAAATAAGTCCTTTTCTACATTGAAATTTTATTGTGTTTAAACAGTTTTAACAATTGAGGTAACTCATGATGCCATCACAATTTTACAATCAGTGTAGACAAGGACAAATATTTCACTATTATGGCAGTTACTCATAGCTAAACCCTGAAATATATATTGTTCCGTATATTTTATTTAGAGATATGCGCATTCAACTATGGTACACTACACATCATCATTAAAGATTAAAGATCCAAACTTCTCCAAAATTTGGGACTTCAGTCATTACAAAGAAACTCAATCTTGAAATTCTGGATTCAGACGCAGCCTTCCTCAAAGATTAGAGGGTTTGGATCCAGGCCAATCTCTAATATGGACATAGCTCCAGTGGGATAGAAGCCTGTAAAAAACTTATCTTTTAAATCATTCATGTGTAATAAAATTGCAGTAAAACCCACAAGACAATGTAGATAAAGCTTGATGTTTTTGGACAGGAAGATTGAAATATCAAGATTCTGGATGGATTTATTCCTGAAGAACAGCCTGCAAAATCATGCACTCAATGCTGCACACTCTTGCTACTTCAATTTGTCTTATGAAAAGCTCCAGAGAACATTCTCCAAGGACTCGGTGATGAAAGATAAAAGTTGTATGAAATAAAGATCAGATGTTAACAGAAACCTATTTGAAAAACATTACACAGAGGCAAAAGCTTTTGGCTTGAAAGATCTTTCTCCATTTTAATGGAGTTGCTTTATTTTGGTTATAAACATTAATATTTGATTATTAAATTCATTTAAACAAATGTAAAGCACTTATTTTAATCTGATTTTAATTACATGTAGAAAGGAATGCAATCCAGTACAGTAATTAAATCCAGTCATATCCTATTTGGATTGCATGATATGGGATCATACTGGGAAATCTATATTAAGGACCTTGGGTCAAGTGTCCTTGTTCATATTTTTGTTATTTTTATATCAATCCTTAGGTTCCAGTTACACAAAGACAAAGGACAACATTCTGAGTAGATGTAAAATGGTGTTAATTATACTGAGGAAAGTGGGTCTAAATTGGTGTAATTTAGAAGCTGTGAGGCTGGAAGAGAAGGTAACCTCAGAAAGAAAGAAAAAAAGCAAAGAAGGTATGGAAAGTTTCAGCTGAGAAGTGCCCCCACCTTAAACACTAATGGCTACCTTGTAATGAGTTCTGGCCAAATTCTGCTAAATACGCCCTGTGCAGATTTTGGGCCTAAAGGGCCAGGAGCAGATGTAAAGTTAGAATTTAGCTCTCAGGGTGAAATCCTGGCCTCCCTGAAGTCAGTGGTGTGACAGGTTCCCCCAGGGTGCCACCTGGAACTGAGGTACCACTAAGCCACCTGACCGGGCTTCCTTTACACTGAACTGCTGTGACAAGCCCTTAAGCCCCTCCAGCACACATACAGGTAGGGACATACCCAGCTGCAGCTACACACAGATGCTGAGATCAGCTCTGCATGGGAAGGATCGGCTAAGGCACCTCCCAGTTCCTAAGGCATGCACCCCCCTCTGGAGTGTAAACCCAAAATTATACCATCTTGCACTGCACAGAAAACTGCACAGCGTAAGCTCATGAAATTCACTCACTCCCTCAGCGTGGAGGGGAATATATACAGCTTTCTGCCCCCAGTTATGACTCCCACACACTGGTTTTAGACAAAGCAAAAATAAGTTTATGAACTACAAAAGATTACTATCCCTTATAATCACTTAAAATCTAACAGATCAAAGCAGATTACCTAGTAAATAAACAAAAATGCAATCTAATCTTAATATACTAAAGAGATTGGATATGAATAGCAACTTCTCACCCTAAATGATGATTTAAGCTGCTTGCAGGGATTTTTAAGGGGCCAGCTGCCCTTGCTTGCAGCTTAAAAACCCCAGGTATTTCTTTCACAGGCTAGAAATCCCTCTAGCCTGGGTCCAACACTTCTCCACCAATTCAGTCCTTGTTCCTCAGGTGTTTCCAAGAGTCTCCTTTGGGCAGGGAGTCAGTGAAAAACCCCGATGATATCACTCCCCTGCCTTAAATAGCTTTTGCTTATGATGGGAATCCTTTGTCTCCAAGCTTGGTTCCCACGTCCGGAAAGACACTGGTATTCCAAGATGGAGTCCAGTACCAGATGACTTGGTCACATTTCCCCATATGGTCATAGCAGCCATGACCCGGAGGCTGTTTGCAGTATCCTCAGGAAGGCTCCCCGGTGGAAGATTAGCTTCTTCTAAGACCCATTGTTCTCCCTAAAGGCCTGACCCAGGCAGCCATCTAGACTGATTGCATTCTGCCTAGTGGGCGTTCCCCAGGTGTAAACACATTTGTAATAGATGCACAGACAATATTCCTAACTTCAGATACCAAAATGATACATGCATACAAATAGGATAATCATATTCAGTAAATCATAACCTTTTCAATGATATCTCACATGACCTATCTTGCAAAAAGTACATCATAGTTATGCAATAATCATATCACAATAATATCTCTATGAAGAATATGTGGCATAGTGTCACAAATGGCAGTTTTGCTACTGGACTTCAGTAGCACTAGGATTTTACTCTTAGGGGTTGTTTTCACTTCCACTAGGTGAATAACGTAGCTGGAGTTGATGTAGCCTAGGTCGACTTACCCTGGTGTCTTAACTGCGCTGCATTGACAGGAGATGCTCTCCAGGGAACTTACCTTACTCTTCTCGGAGAGGTGGAGTACCAGGGTCGAATGGAGAGCGCTCTGCTGTCGATTTAGCGGGTCTTCACGAGACCCACTAAATCGATCCCCGCTGCATCAATTGCAGCAGTGTCAATCTCCCCTTAGTGAGCAAATTACACCAGCAAGGTTCCATTTAGCAATTTGCCAATGTGTAATTTACGTCACCATGTCTGAGCTCTTTGAAATTAGCCCAAAGTGTGCAGTCTCTGAAGGGCATGCCAGCCAATCATTCTAGAATCACAAAGGAGAAGAGACATTCTGGGCCTGATTCTCTGTTGTTCTGCACCTTGTGCTGAAAGAAGATGTAGAATGAGTGTTTCACACTTACTTTGCACTGATGCAAGTGACTGCATAAGGTGCAGGCCATGGGAGAACTAGGTCCTCAGACTTTGAGAACTGCTATCAAGATCAGGAACTTGGACCAAGATTTTCAAAATGACTAGTGATTTTGGATACCCAGCTGGAGACACTTTAAAGGGGCCTGATTTTCAGAGGGTGAGTGCCCAGCACTTTCTGGAAATCAAACCCCTTTATGGTGTCTCAGTGGGTACCCAAAAATTGAGACACTCAAAACCTCTAGCCCCTTTGAAAATCTTGGCTGTGGTCCTTAGAGCAAGGATCAGATATTCCCTTAGTGGAGGTAGAACAATCAGGTTTATTAGAGAAAGGGAAAGGCGAGCCCTGCTGAAATATCCATACCTGTGCATTCTCTGCACACATAGATGGGATGAGACTGGAAATGAACTTTTCTGAATGCATATTTAGGCCACTGAAAAGAAAAGAAAAAAGGGTGAGGAAAATAAGCGCATTTGACAAAAAAAATATAATTTTGTTAAAAAAGCACTTGTTAGGTAAAATAATAGACAATGACTTAAACGTTCCAGGATCACACATTACTTTTACGAGTAAAGTCACAGATTTAATTTTCACAAGAGATCTGGTTCCACTGTGACATGAAAATTATAATTAAAATCACAAAAAGATATGTTTTGATTGGTGATCTCAGCCCCACTGCTTAAAGGACTCAGAAAGGACATAAAACTGCAATATGAAATCAGCATTCAGACATCAGCTGTCACCAGGAGGCAAGCAATGCCATAATTTAGAGCCACCAGCTGATAGACAGAGGGATCTGGGGGACAAAAGCTTGGGCTGAGAGCTCCCAAGTTCTAGTTCAAGCTCTGCTACTGGACAAATTACTTAACCTCTTTGTCCCCTAGATCGCCATGGAAAACAAAATGAAGGTCATTCTTTTACCTTGTGAGCTACCTCAAAGAGCTGTGGTGAAGATTTAGGGGCAGATTTTCAAAGGAACGCACAAAGATGAGTTAGGCACCCAACTCCCATGGACTTGTGAGCGGTAACGCCCTGCAGAGACCAGAGGAAGAGAACTGAAATAAAGCTGTTGCTATTTCAGGACAAAATGGGTAGCTTTCTTTGTTCCCTGCGTATTCAGGAAGATGGGGGCAAAGCAACTGTTAAATCCCCCCCCAAAATATCCTCATATTTAGCTACTTCAGATCAATTAATGAAAATGCTATCATCTTACCAGCTGATTGTTAAATGGCTGAGACTTTGGCAGGGAGTGGGTGACATCCTGCACTCTGCACCCTGGATGATGAGTGATGGAACTTTGCTCCGTTGTATCTGCTTACAAGTACAAGGCTTTGTCTACAACAAATGGCAGTAAGGAGTCACCGAGGAATAATTCTGGCGAGAGATAAATGAGGATGGTGGCCATCAGTCATTAGGCTGCAGGGGTACTTTGGAACGGTATTACCTCAGAGAGCGTCAGGAAACTTTACAGCAGCCTATCTGATATGCACCTTAATAAAATAACCTCTCTAACAGCCAGACACCTACACGGATGCAAAGCTCCTAAAACAATTTTGCAGAATGAACCAGGCACCAGAATGGCAAAAAGGATGAAAAATCCACTGGCACTATTTGTGAGGTTTAGTTACGCTCACTGTATTATTTCAGATGTTCCGGGGAAAGGGGAACACAGCAGAGGTCAAGTCTGAAACTGCACCAGCACACGATATATTTATATCCATTTGTAGTATTTAAAACCTTGTTTATACATGTCCGAAAGAGAGGATAACCCCACACCATTGTGTTCATTCCCCTCTCCCTGGAAATTGTTAACCACTTGGCCCAAAGAAACTATGTTATTTAGCCTGGGGAGCATTGCATTCTGGTAGAAAATAAATAATGAACATGCATCAAGTCTATGAGAGATGACTAGAAGAGTTCAGAGCAGAGCAAGCTTTCCTCTGTCTTACAGAGAGGAGTATGGAAAGTACAGAATAATTTATGAGGCTGTAAAAAAAACATGCTAGCAAAACCCAGCAATCAGCTTATTAATTCATTTTCCTATACAGGAATATTGAGAAATATAAAACACACACTTTCATATTACATATATGGAAATGCACCACAACACAACAAATGTATTGATGGTTAGGATTTCTAGCATTATTGTGCTGCTGAGTGGACAGTTAGAAGCAGAGAACAATACAAGAAGTTGAAATGTTTCTGTCATGCAAAGTAAAACCATGTATATGTGTAAACAATGGCTTGCCATGTGTGGTATTATGTACCAATCAACTTGATCCTGCACAGTCAGGGCCAGATTAACTTTTTGTGGGCCCCCTGGGTAATTATTGTAAAAGGGGCTGGGGGCAAAAGCACAGTGGGGCAGGAGCTAGGGTTGGTTCCTGGAGCAAGGGAGGGGCCGGGGTAAACTGCAAGCATGGCAGGGCTGGGGAGGGGGTAAACAGGATTTCTCCCCCTCCCCCCGGCTCCTGCCCACATAGAGCGGCCACCTTCTCCCTGGTTCTAGCCCATTTTCTGTGTCTCTCTCTGCACTGAGCTGCCCTTCCTCCAGTGTGACAAAGTGGGAATGTTCTTAATGTTTTCTCTGAATACTGTGTGGGAGCCTCAGTTTCCCCTATGCATTTCTTAAGTATCTAGGTGGTGGGATAAGGGTGTGTGATTGTTGCAGAGCCCTAGGCAGGTGTGATGCTGTCTGCACAGAGAATGGCTGACACCCTGTCTCCTGGCAACTGATGGCCTGGGCCCCTCCCTGGCAAGGTGCCAACTGAAGGTGTTGGAGAACAAAAAGATCAGGTGGCCTCCTGGCCCGGGAAAGAGACAAAAGGACAGAGGAGAAGCTGGAGGGGGTTGCAGTTTGGAGCTGGCTGGGGAAACGGAGGGAGTTCCAGCCCTGGTGTCTGGGCTCGCTACCCCACAAGAAGGACCTGACTGGGGGGTCCTGTTTTCCATACCTACAAGCTCTGCTTTGACTGTGTTCCTGTCATCTAATAAACCTTCTGTTTTACTGGCTGGCTGAGAGTCACGGTGAATCACAGGAAGTGGGGGGTGCAGGACCCTGACTCCCCCACACTCCGTGACATCCAGCAGCAGCAAGGCGAGTTCTCTTCCAGCCCCCTGGGGTGGGTGTTGGGAGTGGGAGGAGTGGAGGCTAATACAGTTACTCCTCCAACCGGACTTTTAGTTTCCAGTCAGCACTGCTAAGCGGACACTCGGGTCCCATTTTCTACTGGAGTTTCCAGTCTAAAACTGGATGCCTGGCAACAGGGCTGCCACAAAAGCCGGGAGGGGGGGGGGAAGGGCAAGCAATCTTTTTTAAAAATGAGAGGGCTAAGCCTTAAGCTGTGGGAAGCAAGGGGTGGGTGGGCTAGGGAGTGGAGAGGAGCTAATGGGCAGGGCCATGTCTGCTATACTGCCCAGGTAGGTTGGAGACTATGGGGATCAGCTGACACAGTATCCCCAGCCCAGGTGATGTGACAGCCAGTGGTGGATTTAGAGTTAGTAAGGACCCCTGGCCCTGTGTTCAGCTTCATTTTTGGGGCCCCTACTTGGGACCCAGCCAAGAAAAAACACACTTATCTCCCTCCACCCCTGTTTTTCATTCATCCTCCTCCTATAAGTAATAGCAAGTAAGTGGAAATAAAGTGAGGTACCTCGATTGTGATTTTTAAAGTGGTGTGTGGAAAAATAAGTTAGATTACAAGAACAGAGGGTCTCAACGGACCACTTAATTATCTTTCCAAATACTATAAAAAAAACATTGGGGTGCAGGGTCTGGCCAGGAGGTTGGGGTGTGGAGCGCTTACCTGAGGCAGCTCCTGTTTGGTGCAAGGGGTGCAGGTGCTCCCATTTGGTGCTCAGGATGGGAGTGGGGATGTGGGGGGTTCAGGAGTCAGGGCATGGGGTGGGGGGGCAGGGGATAGGGCAGGGGTCTGAGGGGGGTCAGGGTGTGTGTGAGGGGGTGCAGGAGTCAGGGCAGGGGGTGGAGGGGTGCTGGGGTTGCTCACAGCAGGGGGCTGGAGGGGATATGCCCTTCCCTAAGTCCCTGCCCCACCTCTTCTCTTCCTCCCCGAAGGTGCGAGCAAACTGAGGCTCCGCTCTTCCCCCTCCCTCCTGCCGGTGAACAGCTGATCGGCAGCAGGGAGAGTGGGAGAGGAGGGAACATAACACACTGGGGGAAGAGGCGGGGAGGAGCTTGGCTGCCAGCAGAACCTGCCCGGCTGCACCTATTGGAAAACCCAGGAGGTGGGCGAGCGCACCAAGCGTCTGCCCCCACGGGGGCGCAGAGAAGAGCGGGCCGGGCCCCCTTTGGACCGTGGGCCCAGAGCCATGGTAAATCTGGTACTGTGCACAGTACCGCTGTGGGGTGTTGGGCCTGTAAATTCAAGCAGAGGAGGAAACAGGACTAGAGAGTTCAGCACCATGCCATCCTGCGCTAATAAGGGCACTGCTGCACAGATGTTGCATTACACCACCTGTCTAATAGCAGGAGTAAGGCCAGAGTGGGAACATGAAGAATTGTAGGCTGGGGAGCTTATTTAAGCACATCTCCTCAGACACGGCCACAACCCTTTTTATCCTGAATTCTTGCAAGTGTTGAGGGCACAAGGGGCTTGAAACTTCCAGTGAATACAGAGGGTACACCACCATCACACCACTCACATACCCAGTAGCCTTGACTCCCACTAGCAAAAAGCCACTTTGCTATCCCTACTGCTCTCCACAACAGACCTTGCAGACTAAGACCTCTCTCTGCCTCACCGGGTTCAAATTGTTCAAAAACTACCTGACCACTTCAGGCTTTATTCAAGAAATAAGAGGCAAACAAAATGAAGATTATCTTAGAGAGTCTGTCAAAAATAAAAACCTTAAAAATGTTCATGTGACTTAACTATTATCAGTTAATATAATGGAATATTTATAGACTATAAAAGGAAACCACAAGCTCCATACTCTGGATTCTCAGAGCAAGATGCCTTTTTTGTGTCAGTCTCTGTCAGAACAGAAACCATCTGCACTTTTATGGCTTGCTAAGTACGGAGTACATTGTCAATCCCTAGCAAATAATCAGAAATACTATTTTAGATTATTAAAATTGCATCTAAAGTCTAATTTACCTTTCATCCTAAGTAGGGGTGTTCAGCGTTTGCATTTTGCTCAGCACACACAATGAAAGACAACTCGTCAGTTTCATGTTTGTTTCTAGTTTATTTCATGGCAGAATTAGAAAGATTCAGGGGGACATATCTATTTTCATTAGATTTTGAACTTCCCTACCTTTGACACAAAGGTATTTGAAGCTAATTACCTCAGGTAAAGAGCAGGTTGTATTTGACTACAAAACAGGGGAGGTGCTGGAATACAAAGGGTATGATGAAGTGCCTCATCCTGCATTGATACACCCACCCTGAAGAGCCTTAACTGAATTGCAGAGGGTGGATTCATGGTCGACCTCAGTCCTTCCCATCTTTTTCTATTCAAGTTGCTTTCTTAGAGTGTCACTGACACTCACACAGACCAGTTAAGGGTTGCGTCACTGCCTGCCCCATAACCCTGGGTGCTTCACACTAGCTGCCATCAGCCTACTTACTCCTTACAGGGTGACACCAACAACCCTTCCAGCCCTGAGTCTCCCAGAAGCCTCTCCCCTGCACTGTCCAGTCCCTCCTAGAAGTTCACTGTCTCCAAAGAGCCAGTACACTCGCCAGCCTGGTTGCTTGGATGAGGATTTTACCCTTCAGTTTAATATGTGCCACTGATATGGCTTTGTCATAAAACAAAGAAGAAGTCTATTAAAGAACAGATATTTAAGTGATAAGAAGAGACGAGACAAGAATGGTTACAGGTAACTCAAAACATGTTTTCAGTGACTAACTTAATTTCAGCCAGTTACAATCTTTGTCCAAGCACCTATACTCAGTTTCCAGCTACTCTTGCCAGCCAGGCCAATGTGGTCTGCTTTTCATGAGCTTAGAGAGTGCTTCTCCAATTTGTCCCCTAAGTGATGGATACCCCAAAGGCTTTCAGTAGTTCTTTATATCCTCAATGTTTATCTCTGTTATCAAAGTCAGGAAGCCCTCCTTGGGGCTCAGCTTTCTGTGTCCACCAGGAGCTCATGCCAAGTTAACTGTTGCAATCTTTCTGTGATCCCCAGTGCAAATGAATAATCCATTGTTCTTGGCCACATCTGGCTTGATTTGTGATCAAGTTCGAGAGGTGTTGGCCATTCTCTATGAGGAGGAGGGGAGAAAGGTTTTGCCCCCTTACAGACTCCAAAACATAATATCAGAGAGCATCCATGATTTCACATACAACATTATATACATTTCACAGATATTAGTGACCAGTGTGATTAGTTTTCAAGT